ATAGTCTAAGGCAAAAGTGAACTTTCAGTGTATACTCCGTGAAGCCGAGTATACTCTATGTATACATCCCTTGAGTGTTTTTTATATGAATGACAACTTTGCAGTGTGGGAGGATAGAGTTGGGTAATATTTGTTTGTCTTTACTGTTTACAAAACAGAAAAAAAACACCAAAAACGTTCGCGGCGTTAAAACTATGAAAAGCTCGTTTGACAAAACTGGGCACAGGGTCCAGCACCTTAACTAGTACATGGGTGGTTTTGGTGGGCGGCGGCGGCCGGCGGGACTCGTGTTGTGTGTTGAGGAAAGTAGACTTCGTGTTTATGGTTAGTGAAGTGTGCTTTCAAGGTCTTCCTGTGCCTCTTTCCATCCCGGCACGGACGACTGGCGTCCCGTTCCTTGCCCGTGGTTGATGTAGACGGATGAGGCCAACATATGCACCCGGGAATAAATCAGGTTAGTGCAATTACATTGCATAAAAGCCTGGATGAATCGGTTGCATTTTGCGTAACCAAGTAATGTTTGGTTGAGCTTCCCGACAAATAAACGAATTCATGAAGAAAAACCAAGTCACAGAAACAGACTTCCCACTAACTTTCCCCCGCTCTCAGACAAGTGCTCTTGTTGATTTAGGGGCAACGACGATCAAGGGATCAGGCTCAGACAAGTGAACATTTGTTAGTGAATGGACGAGAAACAGCGAAACTGTTGGTGTTTACAGCCAACAGTAACCTCCGTTACAGCTAATATTAAAATAGAGATAAAATTAATTTAAATGTCAACTGTTAAGTTTCGCGTTATCATAGATTTGTCGGAAGTGCATGATGTAAATACCTGCTTTGTCGGGTGTGTGTGGTATAATCACCTGTCGTGTCTGGTGTGTTTGGTGTAAACTTCTGACTTGTCGAGTATACTTGGTGTAAAAAGCTGCCTTGCGGTATGCATGGTGTAAATATCTGCATTGTAAAAGGTATAAACAACTGCCTGGTCGGTTATACTGGATAGACACGTGTGACATATCAGGTGGCCGATATATCTGGCAAGGTCAAGCCCTTCCTGCCCTAAACTCTTGCCTTACTTCTTGGTACCCATTCACTCCTAGGTAAACAGAAACATCAAGTATAGAAAAACGTGTCCAAGCGTCTCGCTCTGCCCGGGAATCGAACCTGGGACCATTGCGGTTTTTATTCTTATCATAACTGCGCTTTAAATGTCGTCGTCAATACCTTCACTCCTGCTTATCCTTTAGGTAGACTCTTACACCTGCTCACTACTTTTGCACATGCTCACTACTCTTACACCTGCTCACTACTCTTACACCTGCTCACTACTCATACACCTACTCACCACTCTTATACCTGCTCACTACTCATACACCTGCTCACCACTCTTATACCTGCTCACTAATCTTGCACCTGCTCACTATTCTTGCACCTGATCACTACTCTTACACCTGCTCACTACTCATACACCTGCTGGATAAGGATTTGTGGTGGGACGAGGGGAAGGAATGGTGCCCAACCACTTGGACAGTCGGGGATTGAACGCCGACCTGCACGAAGCGAAATCGTCGCTCTGCCGTCCAGCCCAAGTGGTTGATCAGGTTCACCCTTGGCTCATGTTATTTTCTTTCTATTTGTTTTATAAGAAAATTGTTCAAGAGCGCCCGGATATGAGAGCATGAGGGCCAGGATATGAAGGCATGTGAGCCAGGATATGAAGGCATGTGAGCCAGGATATGAAGGCATGTGAGCCAGGATATGAGGGCATGTGAGCCAGGATATAAGGGCATGTGAGCCAGGATATGAAGGCATGTGAGCCAGGATATGAGGTCATGTGAGCCAGGATATGAGAGCATGAGGGCCAGGATATGAGAGCATGTGTGCCAGGATGTGAGGGCATGTGAGCCAGGATATGAAGGCATGTGAGCCAGGATATGAGGGCATGTGAGCCAGGATATGAGAGCATGAGGGCCAGGATATGAGGGCATGTGAGCCAGGATGTGAGGGCATGTGAGCCAGGATATAAAGGTATGTGAGCCAGGATATGAGGGCATGTGAGCCAGGATATGAGAGCATGAGGGCCAGGATATGAGGGCATGTGAGCCAGGATATGAGAGCATGAGGGCCAGGATATGAGGGCATGTGAGCCAGGATGTGAGGGCATGTGAGCCAGGATATGAGAGCATGAGGGCCAGGATATGAGGGCATGTGAGGCAGGATATGAGGGCATGTGAGCCAGGATATGAGGGCATGTGAGCCAGGATATGAGGGCATGTGAGCCAGGATATGAGGGCATGAGGGTCAGAATATGAGGGCATGTGAGCCAGGATATGAGGGCATGAGGGTCAGAATATGAGGGCATGTGAGCTAGGATATGAGGGCATGAGCGTCAGAATATGAGGGCATGTGAGCTAGGATATGAGGGCATGAGGGTCAGAATATGAGGGCATGTGAGCTAGGATATGAGGGCATGAGGGTCAGAATATGAGGGCATGTGAGCCAGGATATGAGGGCATGAGGGGTCAGAATATGAGGGCATGTGAGCCAGGATATGAGGGCATGAGGGTCAGAATATGAGGGCATGTGAGCTAGGATATGAGGGCATGAGCGTCAGAATATGAGGGCATGTGAGCTAGGATATGAGGGCATGAGGGTCAGAATATGAGGGCATGTGAGCTAGGATATGAGGGCATGAGGGTCAGAATATGAGGGCATGTGAGCCAGGATATGAGGGCATGAGGGTCAGAATATGAGGGCAGGCGTCGCCCCAACTCAGCCGTCTGCAGGAGCGCCTCTCCTCTCATCCCTCACTGGTTACCTGTTCACTCGGGGCCTCGTAGCCTGGTGGATAGCGCGCAGGATTCGTAATTCTGTGGCGCGGGTTCGATTCCCGCACGAGGCAGAAACAAATGGGCAAAGTTTCTTTCACCCTGAATGCCCCTGTTACCTAGCAGTAAATAGGTACCTGGGGGTTAGTAAGCTGTCACGGGCTGCTTCCTAGGGTGTGTGTGTGTGTGGTGTGGGAAAAAAAAAAAGTAGTTAGTAAACAGTTGATTGACAGTTGAGAGGCGGGCCGAAAGAGCAAAGCTCAACCCCCGTAAAAACACAACTAGTAAACACTTGCCTCACACTGACCATGGTTCGGACCCCAGCTGGCGCGTTGGCAGCCTCCTTCGGGTGTCGACCTGCCCTCGTCACCACGCCCACCCCCCTTCTTACACCTCTAACCCCCCCCTTCTTCATTTCTACCCCCCCTCTTACACCTCTATCTCCCTATTACATCTATTCCACCCCTTTTACACTTCTACTCCCCCTTCTTACACCTCCACTCCTCGTCCCCCTTACACCTCTACCACCCTATTATAAGTCTACGACCCTCTTGAACCTCTACATACCCTCTTAAATCTCTGCAATCTTCTTAAATCTCTACAACCCACCTTAAACAACTACAACCCACCTTAAACAACTACAACCCACCTTAAACAACTACAACCCGCCTTAAACAACTACAACCCACCTTAAACAACTACACCCCACCTTAAACAACTACAACCCGCCTTAAACAACTACAACCCACCTTAAACAACTACAACCCACCTTAAACAACTACACCCCACCTTAAACAACTACAACCCGCCTTAAACAACTACACCCCACCTTAAACAACTACAACCCGCCTTAAACAACTACAACCCACCTTAAACAACTACAACCCACCTTAAACAACTACAACCCACCTTAAACAACTACACCCCACCTTAAACAACTACAACCCGCCTTAAACAACTACAACCCACCTTAAACAACTACACCCCACCTTAAACAACTTCATCCATCTTAAACCTCTTCAATCCTTTTAAACATTTATGGTCTTTTTCTTTAAAGGTTTTAAAACTTTATGCCTTAATTTTTCCTCCCTTTATGCCTTATTTATGACTCATTTGTATTGGTCTACTTGTTTCCACCTGACCCCATATTAGTATAAATCCAACACGCTTTGTAATTTCTCATCACTTGAGAATGAACCATGCAGGTTCGAAACGTTGTGTAATTTCATAATAAGTGTAATACATTCTACAGTTTTGTTTCCTTTCTTCACCTCGAGCGAGGATGACTTTCGGAGAACTCCTCTTCCAGTTAAACCAAGATGCAAGAGCACTAGTTAGAGGGATAGAAGCCTTAAACAAGAAAATAATTAATACAGAATATGCAGTCATACTCAATGAAACGTGAATAAATGTAAACCTGCTGCCAGTATACACTAGTCCTCTTTAACCTTTACAACCCACCTGTAACTTCTGTAACAATACCATACTCGTCTTCCACTTACTCATCCATTCCCCACCCCTTCCCCCCCAATACACCTCTGTAACTATGTCATACACGTCTGCATCATACTCATCTATCATCACTTCATACACCATGTACCAGCACACAGTACACAACTACTACCGCCCCCATACACCCCGTCACTACTCAACCTCTCTCTACATCATGCAGAAATCGCCACCAAAAATAATTGATTCACCTCAGGTCTCCAAGGAGAGACTCGCCCCACAGTCAACACTGCTGCTCCCTCCCCCCTTCAGCCCTCGCCAGACTCGCCTCCCTGAAGGGACGTACAACACTCCTCCCTACCCCCGTGCGGGTCATCCTCAGGGCTAGTTCTGGTAGTTCACAGCCCCTGCAGCCTCCATTTTCCTCGCCCCGCTCCCCAAATCCCCCCAAATCTAGCTTCTGGGGAACGCAGAATGACCCAGTCAATACATCCTGGTCCGTCTCTCTCTCTCTCTCTCTCTCTCTCTCTCTCTCTCTCTCTCTCTCTCTCTCTCTCTCTCTCTCTCTCTCTCTCTCTCTCTCTCTCTCTCTCTCTCCCTCTTTCCATGGCTAAGTGCTGAACCCTCATTAAAACAGGTAACTAGGGTGAAACTGTCAAAACAGCAGAGAGACGGTAATTATAGGGTCATTTTACCCCTGGTGGAATGCATGAGGAGGCGGGATTACAGCCAGACTCTGCTCCCTGATGTGACATACACGAGTCCCTCTGTGGGGCCTCCCTGCATGATGCCTCCCTTCATGATGCCTCCCTGCATGATGCCTCCCTGCATGATGCCTCCCTTCATGATGCCTCCCTTCATGATGCCTCCCTGCATGATGCCTCCCTGCATGATGCCTCCCTGCATGATGCCTCCCTGCATGATGCCTCCCTGCATGATGCCTCCTTGCATGATGCCTCCCTGCATGATGCCTCCCTGCATGATGCCTCCCTGCATGATGCCTCCCTGCATGATGCCTCCCTGCATGATGCCTCCCTGCATGATGCCTCCTTGCATGATGCCTCCCTGCATGATGCCTCCCTGCATGATGCCTCCCTGCATGATGCCTCCCTGCATGATGGCTCCCTGCATGATGCCTCCTTGCATGATGCCTCCCTGCATGATGCCTCCCTGCATGATGCCTCCTTGCATGATGCCTCCCTGAATGATGCCTCCCTGCGTGATGGCTCCCTGCAGGATGCCTCCCTGCATGATGCCTCCTTGCATGATGCCTCCCTGCATGATGCCTCCCTGCATGATGCCTCCTTGCATGATGCCTCCTTGCATGATGCCTACCTGCATGGTGGCTCCTTGCATGATGCCTACCTGCATGGTGGCTCCTTGCATGATGCCTCCCTGCATGATGCCTCCTTACATGATGCCTACCTGCATGGTGGCTCCTTGCATGGTGGCTCCTTGCATGATGCCTCCCTGCATGATGCCTACCTGCATGGTGGCTCCTTGCATGATGCTTCCCTGCATGATGCCTCCCTGCATGATGCCTCCTTGCATGTTGCCTCCCTGCATGATGCCTACCTGCATGGTGGCTCCTTGCATGATGCCTCCCTGCATGATGCCTCCTTGCATGTTGCCTCCCTGCATGATGCCTACCTGCATGGTGGCTCCTTGCATGATGCCTCCCTGCATGATGCCTCCCTGCATGATGCCTCCTTACATGATGCCTCCTTGCATGATGCTTCCCTACATGATGCCTCCCTGCATGATGCCTCTCTGCATGATGCCTCCCTGCATGATGCCTCCCTGCATGATGCCTCCCTGCATGATGCCTCCATACATGATGCCTCCTTGCATGATGCTTCCCTACATGATGCCTCCCTGCATGATGCTTCCCTACATGATGTCTCCCTGCATGATGCCTCTCTGCATGATGCCTCCCCACATAATGCCTTCCTGCATGATGCCTCATGTAAATATACTTCACATGAAGAGGGGACTACGACGCTGGGGGCTGTGAAGAAGGGCTGATGTTGAGCTCTCTGGGATCCTACTTTAATGGTGTTCTAATACAAGATTCTTGTTACATGAGGTCTGATGTTATGGGCTCTCTTAAACATCTTGAGCAATGGTACAGTTGTTGACATTATTTTTTTTTTTGTTGGGGTTATAATCCTGGTGTAATTGTGCTGCATATTTATGGTGTTGTGGGGTGATACAGATGCGATGAAATGGTGTTGTGTTGTGTAGTGTTGTAGACAGTGCTATGGCGTGGTATAGACTTGGTGTTAGTGAGAGATGTGTGTTTCCGCTTCCAAGACCACTAGTGCATAGATACATTTCGAAGTGTGAATGAATAAGTACACACGCACGCACGCATACACACACAGTAGGCTCAGGAATCTGTACATCAGTTGATTGACAGTTGAGAGGCGGGACCAAAGAGCCAAAGCTCAACCCCCGCAAGCACAAATAGGTGAGTACAAATAGGTTAGTACACACACACACACACACACAGGCCAATCCTGGAGTATGCAGCCCCAGCATGGAGTCCATATCTAGTCAAGGATAAGACTAAACTGGAAAAGGTTCAAAGGTTTGCCACCAGACTAGTACCCGAGCTGAGAGGTATGAGCTACGAGGAGAGACTACGGGAATTAAACCTCACTTCGCTGGAAGACAGAAGAGTTAGGGGGGACATGATCACCACATTCAAGATTCTAAAGGGAATTGATAGGGTAGATAAAGACAGTCTATTTAACACAAGGGGAACACGTACAAGGGGACACAGGTGGAAACTGAGTGTCCAAATGAGCCACAGAGATATTAGAAAGAACTTTTTTAGTGTCAGAGTGGTGGACAAATGGAATGCATTAGGAAGAGATGTGGTGGAGGCTGACTCCATACACAGTTTCAAGTGTAGATATGATAGAGCCCGATAGGCTCAGGAATCTGTAGACCTGTTGATTGACGGTTGAGAGGCGGGACCAAAGAGCCAGAGCTCAACCCCCGCAAACACAACTAGGTGAGTACACACACACACACACACACACACACACACACACACACACACACACACACACACACACACACACACACACACACACACACACACACACACACGTTTTAATAACAGTAAGCAAATGGAACAAACTAAAAGGGGCAAGAAAAGAAGCTAAATCCGTACATAGTGTTAAAAAGCAGATTTGACTAGAAGATCACTTAAACAAAGTACCTTACATGGGGAGTACTAACGCTTGTGGCCTGAGCATAATCACGTAGTTATTCATCCTGAAACAAAACTACATCTTCCGTCTCCATGAAGAGGCTGTCCTATCTGGATTGCTTGTATGTTCTTTAAGAGGCTGAGTTGAGTCCTGACACTATATAGCGAGTCCTTGCCTCTCCCTGTGAGAAGCAAGGAATGTAAAACCCTATTTAGCTTCTTAAATCTTCAAGAAGTAGCTTGTAAGGTACTTGTCAGCTTACATCTTCAAGAAGTAGCTTGTAAGGTACTTGTCAGCTTACATCTTCATGAAGTAGCTTGTAAGGTACTTGTCAGCTTAAATCTTCAAGTAGCTTGTTTCCACTTTCAGTAATCAAGAATGTTGATGATAATTTTTCTTCTGCGAGACATCTGTATGTTGTTGCACACACCCAACTTGAGGCTGTCCGTGAAAGGAAAACGCCTAAATAAGTAGGTTAGTCTGGGGTGGGTTAGGCAGGTGATGAGTAAGTAGGTTGAATGTATCGTGAGCGTCGATATCGGTACTCCTGTCGTCTATCCTCTTTAGGTCAGCTTTGATTATGTGGATTCCTGGCAAGACAGTTTTTACTTTATTATACGTAAGATGAGGAGACTATTTCACATTCAGAAGGGCTGAGAGTGAGGCCTTGGCTCCTTGTCCGGCCAGTTTCCTAATGTCCTCCATGAGGTAATCTGAGGACATGGCAAGGTTATCTTGAGATGATTTCGGGGCTTAGCGTCCCCGCGGCCCGGTCCTCGACCAGACCTCCTTTTTTGTTACACCCCCCCCCCCATGAAGCAGCCCGTAGCAGCTGTCTAACTCCCAGGTACCTATTTACTGCTAGGTTACCAACATCAATAACGCAGATTCTGAGCTCCCAGGGCAAGTTTTAAGGAACTTCATATATCACTAAGCATTAATGAAGAGGAACGAGGCGATTATCCTTCTGAACACCTTCGCTTGAGTTGCTTAGTGTGAAATTATCAGAGGCTATTGGTCCCCTTCTTGCAGCCAGAGGTGGTACCCCATGTATGATTAATATATATATATATATATATATATATATATATATATATATATATATATATATATATATATATATATATATATATATATATATATATATATATATATTATTAAATATGACCGAAAAAGTAAGATTAATAATTCTAACACGAATTTTCTCAATCTTTCGTACATTTCTTTTCACTGTTGGAGGTAATTCAAAAATCAATTCTCCAAAATTCATTTTTATTTCTAGTCTGACGCGACACGAGCGCGTTTCGTAAAACTTATTACATTTTCAAAGACTTTAGTTTACAAATACACAACTGAATAGAACTTACATGTCTCCGATTTTGTTTATATCTACATTTGAGTGAGGTGGATGGGGTGAGGTGGCATTAATAGGGTATTAATTTCATCAACACAAGACAGAACAAGAGGTGGCATTAATAGGGTATTAATTTCATCAACACAAGACAGAACACGAAACAATGGGTATTGAAATGGAAGTGATTGTAGAAAGCCTATTGGTCCATATTTCTTGATGCTTCTATATTGGAGCGGAGTCTTGAGGTGGGTAGAAGAAAACTCCGCTCCAATATAGAAGCATCAAGAAATATGGACCAATAGGCTTTCTACAATCACTTCCATTTCAATACCCATTGTTTCGTGTTCTGTCTTGTGTTGATGAAATTAATACCCTATTAATGCCACCTCTTGTTCTGTCTTGTGTTGATGAAATTAATACCCTATTAATGCCACCTCACCCCATCCACCTCACTCAAATGTAGATATAAACAAAATCGGAGACATGTAAGTTCTATTCAGTTGTGTATTTGTAAACTAAAGTCTTTGAAAATGTAATAAGTTTTACGAAACGCGCTCGTGTCGCGTCAGACTAGAAATAAAAATGAATTTTGGAGAATTGATTTTTGAATTACCTCCAACAGTGAAAAGAAATGTACGAAAGATTGAGAAAAGTCGTGTTAGAATTATTAATCTTACTTTTTCGGTCATATTTAATAATATATGTCTACAGGAAAGACTGCTACCAAAATATACTAATATATATATATATATATATATATATATATATATATATATATATATATATAATATGTATGGGGGTGGTAGGAGAAGTGAACATTCATACGTATTCAGAGTTAAATGACAAGTCTCTCTCTGAATGCTCCGTGTTCCCTTCTTTGAGGATGTGAGTCCCTACAATTGCACCAGAGGTGGTACCCTTATATATACGCACCTCTTGGTCTAGTATATTAGGTCCGATTTGCCTAAAAGGTATAATAATTTTTATTAAAAAAAAATGCTTTCAAATTGGTTTATTTGAATTTATATTGTATTAAAATCCTGAGTTACTGACTTAGTTATCTTAGGTAAGGTTAGGTTAGAATAGTTTGATTTTGGTCGTATTTCTATGTTAGTTTTAACTCAAATAAAAAAAAGTATCGTATAAAATATAATGGAAAGCTTTAAAATCCCATAAGAAAATAATTTAAAAAATATAGAAATTCAGGAAACATCGGCTCGTTAGATAAATCGGGCCTTGCATAGTACTCCAAGTAATGCGTTCTGGCTATTAGGCATACACACGCACACATTATATATATATATATATATATATATATATATATATATATATATATATATATATATATATATATATATATATATATATATATATATATATATATATATATATATATATATATATATGTATATGTATATATATATATATATATGTCGTACCTAGTAGCCAGAACGCACTTCTCTGCCTACTATGCAAGGCCCGATTTGCCTAATAAGCCAAGTTTTCCTGAATTAATAAATTTTCTCTAATTTTTTTCTTATGCAATGATAAAGCTACCCATTTCATTATGTATGAGGTCAATTTTTTTAATTGGAATTAAAATTAACGTAGATATATGACCGAACCTATACAACCCTACCTAACCTAACCTAACCTATCTTTATAGGTTAGGTTAGGTAGCCGAAAAAGTTAGGTTAGGTTAGGTAGGTTAGGTAGTCGAAAAACAATTATTTCATGAAAACTTGGCTTATTAGGCAAATCGGGCCTTGTATAGTAGGCTGAGAAGTGCGTTCTGGCTACTAGGTACGACATATATATATATATAT